TTTTGATATAACTAGTCTTTATACTAATATACCAGTTAATATGGCCTTAGAAGCAGTTAAAAAAGAATTAACTGCGGATCCGGAACTCAGTCATAGGACAAAGCTGTCCATTGAAGAAATTATTTTAGGGATTCAGTTATGCCTCACATCTACTATCTTTAAGTTCCAAGGCAAAATATATAGACAAACAGAAGGTGTAGCAATGGGATCACCAATATCCCCTATCGTAGCAGACATATTTATGGACAGCTGGGAAAATAGTGCCCTCAATACATTTAACCCTACTCCGAAAATATGGTGGAGATATGTGGATGACACTTTCACAGTGTTAAAAACAGAACACATCTCTAGCTTCTTGACACATATAAACTCACAAGTTGAGGGAATAAAATTCACATTTGAATCAGAAAATGAACAAGGAGAATTAGCTATGTTAGATTGTAAGATAAAAAGAATAGAAGAAGGCAAACTACACACTAGTGTTTATAGAAAACCAACGCATTCTAATAGATATTTAGACTTTAATTCGTCTCATCCGTTAACTGTTAAGGCAGGCTTAGTTAAATGTTTAACAAACCGAGCAGTGGCACTAAGTAGCACAAAAAAAGATCTAAATGATGAATTAAAACAGATAGAAGAAGCGTTGGTGTTGAATAACTATCCTATAAAATTCATTAGGAAGATCATTAAAGGCCAAAAACAAAATAAAAATAATTGTGAAACTAGTAATAATAACATAAATAAGAAAGAATATAAGTCATCCACAGTTATACCATATAAAGAGGGGACATCGGAGACACTACGTAGGATTCTGAATAAAATAGGAATTAGGGTGGCATTTAAACCTACAAACTCACTCAGGGACAAGCTCTGTAGGTTAAAGGACCCAGTTGACCCAATTAGACAAAATAATATTATTTACAAAATACCATGCAATGACTGTGAGGTCAACTACATAGGTCAAACTAGTAGGTCAGGGGTAGTCAGATTGTCAGAGCATAAAAATTTAGCTAAGGTAAGAATGGTTGACCCCGAGAAGATAAATAATTTAGAAAAAAGCTCAGCAATCGCAATGCATGCGTTAACACACAACCACACAATAGGGTGGGAGAGGGTTAAAATTCTAAAAAGTAATCTAGGTAGGTGGAGAGAGAGGTTGATTACTGAATCCTTGTTCATCGAGTCTACACCCAACACATGCAATAGGAATGACTCGTCACTCATACCTGAAATATGGAAAATACTATTACCAATCAAATCAAGTGAAAATCAAGAAAAAAACAATGGAACTATATAAATGAATTTAGGAAGTCGTGTGATTACCTTGATATGATTATGAGCAATAAATTGTGCTCGAAACGTCATCAGTAAACATTACTGTAAACACTGTGCGATTTATCAAAATAAAATGTTATCTATAATGGACTTATTTCTCGATGTTGGTGTTGTTGACCTCCACACAGACTTGAGAGACACGAAAGCTAGCCTTGTTTTCCCGATCCTCGCCTTGATACCCTCATCGATTCCGTCCGCCTGTGGTTGAGACGACGTTTTCCGGGTAGGTAGGTAAAAAGGGTTGTTTCTTTCAGGTCCCTCCTATTTATGCTGATTGTTGTTGCTGTTTCTGTTGGCCAGGAATCTTCATCACCTCTGTTTCATCTATGTTCACCTGAAGTCCTATCTTTGATGCTTCTTCTGCCAACTTGTTGCTTTTCACCTACATATCTTCCAGTTTGTGGGAAATCACTGATTAATGATTTATTATTATTATTGCCTAAGGTTCTGAATGAAAATCTTGGCTTCAACAGATCCTTACCATTGCATCCTGTTTTCTTCAGTCCTCTTTAGTTCGCTTCACAAATTCCCACAAGCTCTCATCACTTCTTCACATGATCGCCTCCACGTTGCCCTCGGACTCACGCTCAACTTGTCTTTTCACGTTCGGGTTTCGATTGAGACTGCCCTGGTAAGCGTTTTCTCTCAACGATATCCTCAGTATGTGTTTGATTCATCTTTGCTTCCTTCGGCAGGTTAGTTTGGCGATCGTTACTTGGTTACCTCGTCTCTAGATTTCCTTGTTGTCATTCCTTTGTGGTCATTTGATATTCACTATCGGGTTAGCGAAGGAAGCTGTTCATGAAATTCTGAAGCAACTTGATGGAAATGCTTTTGGTGATACGCCAAGTACATAGAAGCACCAGTTGACTTGACAATATGGTTGGAAATACTCATTCTTATAAATTCGTGTATGGATTTTAATATAACGTTGTGTGTTTATCGGTAAATTTCAAGGTTTTGTACGCTCAGATGTATGAAGGAATAATGGAAGGTCTACGTGTACACCACAACAATCAAATCGAATGGAATTCTGTGACAGTTTGATTAAATTCCAAACTGATAATTTATGCAAATAAAGGGAAATGTGGATTTTTACGTGTTAACGAATCTGTGACTAGAGAAAAGAGTGAAAAATACACATGTGATATGACCTAAATAAACATAAGTCAGTGAAGAATATCCCTTTCTTAACTTCTTTCCAAAGTCGTACAGTTGTAAAAGGTTATAGAAATTTTGATTTGATTTTGTTCTCTTAGCTGGATGTTAAGGAACTGAGCTACTGGTTCTTTTATTTTCTTCTCTGGACAACTATACTAGAATATTACTTTGTCCGATTATGTGTTTCTCCACCATCTACGTCTTTTGTCTTCGTTTCATACCTTCTATGTTGTTTCACAATGATCCTTATTTATTGTCAGTAGCATAAGTCTTACTAATGCTACTACTACTTTAGTAAGGTTTTTGCATAATATCAATTTTCCCTAATTAGAAGTATACAGTTTAACACGTGACTGATTGTACGTTGTCACTCAAAAAATTGGTGCTTTCAGTCAATTTCTAAGTTTTATTGTGTTAATTACTCCTATTCAGAACATGACTAATTCTGCGTCAGTGTCAGTTAAGCCTTGCTAGTCGTATGATTAAAATTCAACCTTTTTATTCGCTTTATTGTGCACGGCATTTTTTGTAAGACTAATACTGCTTTCTTCGATAGCGAAACCAAACGCCTATACATACACACACATATACGCAAAACCACAGATATAAGAACGGATAAACGTGTCACATAAATGCTACTATTTTGAGTGAGGTATTAATCTTTTTTCTTTAAATGATATTAGACACTTTGCCGAAATGAATTATTTATTGTATCCAGACTGCGATTCGCAATTCGATATGCAGTTAACACACATCCCACATAACTCGTGGATGAGACAAAGTATCTCTATGGCTTTTAAGGGATCTCTAACTGATGTTAGTTCGTGAGGAAATGTTCACTGAGATTCCCTTTCTATATTCTGTGATGCTTCATTCAGCTGATCCAATGAAATACCATGAGTTATTTGTCTATTCGATTTTATATAGATGGTGTATGAAGGATATGTTTTGTTCACATGCTTCTGGAGTTAAGTAAAGTGCTGATGGCATAGAAACAATTATTATTGTTAAGACACTGATAAATGTGAGTTCTGTATCCATAGAAATTTACACACAGATTGCACAGTCACCATAATGGGCGAGATTTATTTACGTTAAATGAATTAGGTAAACGATATTCATATCTTAAAAGTAGTTCCATCTCAATAGTATTATGCTAGAGCAATATACATTAGACAATTTAACGGTTGTTGAGGTCCTATAGTTTCTCAAGAAGGAATGAAACATTTTTAATAGGAGATCATAGTGTTAAAAAAAACTATTAATCTGAGCCCTATGGATGGCTGACGCTTACAGATCTTGATGTGGTTGTGTTGTTTGAGCTGGATAGTTAATTTACTAAGCTTTTATCGCCCTACTAGGCAACATCTTCAGCACATACTTCAATTTGTTGAAGTGAGCTTTTAGATTTCTCCATGAGTTTATTAATCATCTCTCTTGGTGACCTTGGACGTGATTGATCGTTTTTGTGTGTTTTCACACCTTCTAGGTTACTTTTATTGGGACTGATTGTTTTATAAGAATAAAACTTGTGCACTGTGGTAGAGTATAATTCCATTATGGGTAAACTTTTGTTTTGATACCCATAATGGAACTAATTGTTTCTTTGACTTGAACTTTGATCGTTTGTGTGTGAGGTTTCCTTCTTAACGGTTGGTAAATTTTGTCTGTCTCGATGGGTCTATTGATTGATGATTCACTGGAATACCAAGCTTCTAAAATTTCTCTAGCATTCTTGGGGTTTCCTCTGTGGATTTCCTGAAAGTCATGTTGCGACTATGAAACATGATTCCGGTGAATGGATAACACTTAGCTTCTCAGTATAATATTCCAATAGTTTTGTTTTTATTTTATAGGATATCAAAACCATTCCACATACGCCTATAGACATTTAAGTATGGTTAATTTGAACATTAATGTTTCGGACAGATAAAACTTACCTATTTCAAGTCTGGACTTCTTATAACTCCAGCCCTCTTGATTGTAAGATGGGGAGAATTGGTGTTTTAGTAGTCTCTATTATTTAGTTTTCTACGTGAGCATAAAAACTGACTAGGAGCATCCTCCTAGCAAATCTATCAGACAAACAAATGTGCCTGATTAATTAATACTATCAGTGATACTGCTTCCAGCAGTTGAATTAGAGATTAGTATTTTCTTCTGTGATAAATTTGAAAATTTTTTCATAAATGTAAATTTAAATCAATCATGGGTCTCCTCTGGATAACTGTCTATTCGCCTTTACTGAAGCAGTGTGTGGTCAGTGAATATATTCAGGATAAATCTGGTCTAGGTGAATTCCTTGAAATGTTTGAGCTGACTAACCCCATTTGAGTAAAATTCTAGGTTGGTTCAACAGTCTGACATTTTAAGTTTTTAGCTTTCACTAAGGATTACCGCATGATTAAATAATGACGATGTTTTGTTCTGCTGTTCGTTGATCTTCGAATAAGTTATTTAGTTATAAAAGCTGCTGAACCGTAATGGTCGTTTAATCTGTTCAGAGGGACCTGACTGGGGAAAACAGAAATTGTATCTCACACTTTATGCGCATTATGGTACCTATCAGGAGTCATTTTTAATGAATGTCGAATATGAAGCACTTCCGACAAACAGTCACCAGCTGCACCTATGTCAGCGCCTCCAGTGAAGCCTAAAGAAAAAACTACAAGTGAAGATAAAGAAGCCGCTGATGTGTCTGGAAAAGATACTATTTATGTGCTAAGACAAGAAAGTACTGATGTACCAAAAGAAGATATTATCGATGCATATGCAGAAGAACCGTTTGTTTGACCTGGGTAAGATTTTTGTGTATACATAATTGTGTTTTAGAGCATTTTAATATACGTCGACTGTTATTCGTAATGAAACATAGGTTGTTTGAATTTGTTTTTATGGAAATTTTTGAATATTATGATTTATTCATGTAATTGCGTGTATTATGGAAATTTAGATATTTTCATCTATGTGACATGTATTTTTTTTAATGAGCGTTGAATGACGTTTCAATCCCACAAACTTCACTGTTTAACCTAATAACACACTTAATGAGGAAATGCTTTTCCTGTGATGGCGTCCTCATAAATAACTGTATGATAGCAGTGACAGCAGTTTTACTACAAAGCATAATTTATTAGCGTGGTGATGTTGGTTCTGTTAGCAATCATCATTCAACATCAACATGTCACATGTATGATAATGCATTCACTTCATCCACAAAAACTTAATTCCTCTTTATTCACGTAGCCTATCTATCCGTGTGTGTTTATACATATTGAGGTTGATTCGAAGGGAGTTATGGATGAGTGATACTGTTGAAAGTTAATACACAATCATATCTATTTTTATGTGTTTGCCTGTTGCAGAAATGTTGCACATGCTTGTCTATCTAGCGACCGTGTATTTTACTCAAGTGAGAAACTATCGTTCCTAGGAGTTTGAGAGCACGCAGATTTCTAGGTCTTGAACGTCTTGACATCTCATACTTTCAGACTACTTTTGGCATCCTCACTCATGCCACGTACCTGTAGGTCAATCGATACTTCAAAGCCAGATAAGTGAGGGTAGCGACTTCTTTCAAATTTATTCGAGCGACAGTGGTTGTTGCTTTCCACTGTTGTCGTTGTTGTTGGTGGTGGTGATTTTTTGGTTATCTTTACTATCTCCACCTCCCCTGTGTTCACTTGAAGCACTGACTTTTCCACATGCGCCTACTACGAACTCAGGAAAGCTGTTGGGTCACACCTAATACAGACAATTCTCTACTGACTCGGTAATCAAACCTTCAGTTATATCTCTTCTCATTTCGTCTATTATAACACATTTAAGACGGACACATTATTACAATTACAGATGCTATTGAACTGTAGTCTATTGACACTGATTGATTGACTTAATAGTGTTGTTAATAAACCTTATTCTTTCATTATTGTGGATGTATAACTGTAAAACCTGATGAAGAAGTTTTCGAAGAGCATTTTCTTTGTTCAGTAATCAGTCGTTTGAAATTTCTAACGGGCATTTTCGGTCATTAATTTGTTTTGATGACTGTTATTGAGATGACAAATTATTTATCCTAGTGAAAAATATAAATTATTGTAACTATTCTTCCCCCTACTATTCACAATACAAAGGAAATATCGCATGCGGTCACAGTAATTGAAGCATCAGTTGGATTAAAGGCATTGGTATTATCATTACATCATGACGTGATGAAAATCGTAACTCGTGCTCACCCACTGAATAGGTTTTAGGATGAATAATGAAGATAAGAAGAAGAAGAAGAGTGGGAATGAATGAACTGGATAATAAATATTTTGTCACATAACTTCGTTTCTACAAAAAAACACATGAGTACAGCGGTTAGGACGCTCACCGACTATGCACATGATCTGGGATTCGATCCCCAGATAACGCACATCTGGTATCAATGGTCAGCTGGCTAAATGTGGACTATCAATATCAAATGCTGAAAATTTCTTATTTGTTCCAAGCACTGTGTGAAGTCAAGCTATAATAAAATAAAATAAATATAAAATAAATACGATATCTAATAACTGATTACGACGTATATTAAACTGCCCTAAAAGAAAGTTGCATATATTTAAAATTTTCTCCAAAGTTGAATAAACAGTTTGTGGTGATTGACAATTTCTATCTTTGTATTGTTTAAATACTTACTGTTGACTGTTGATATGTTTCTTATATGAATTGCATTCTAATTCCGCTAAATACAAATTACTGATTGCTGCCCTCTCTGGGTTTTGATTAGATTCCTATAATTCCGTCATCCCGGTATATTAATACTTCAATTACAATAAATTACTACACAGTTCTTCTGCATACTCACTAATACTTTCTTCTTCAGAGACATCAATAGTTCCTTGTCCAGATTAACCTATCGTTTATTTCACTACCTTATTGTTCAAAGACAAGGATATACGGACTATCGTAAGTCACGTCTGCATCGTCAATAAACTTCACTTGAAAATGATAACATTGTTGGTATAATCACGTTATCAATAATGATCTCTAGTTGATCTGGATTTGTATGACTAATTATTCTGTCATTGTATTTATGACTTTCTGATTCCTTCTTTGCAAATTTTGATGAAATGAAGTCTTGTAGAGAACAATCTAACATCTATATGACAAACTCTTATTCAGGATTCACATACAACACTTTTGCATGATTACCAGTGGTAATTCTAAGTACACAGGCATTTTCCTTTCTGTTCTTCAAGCTAGCACTTTTAATTGGGCTGTTGCCTGCAATAATGTATTCAAATTATTGATATAAGAATAGAACATGAGCACAGTGCATTCAGATTGTATGTGCCCGTATTCATTGGGTCGCATCTATCGGGTAAACGACTAGAAGTGACCAAATATAAAGTGTTTTACTCCTTAAATATGTCATTGAATGGGTTATTTTTACCTTCATGAATTTATTAAAAGCTGGTTGATATTGGTCCCAGGTATGAAAGCAACAATAATACATAACACGCTGGAATACATGACCAGTATCATGCAACGCAAATTCCACATTGGCTGAAGTTGACGCTGCAGGTGAACTCTGAGGCATCGTCTAATGGACAGATTTAAAATTGATGTTATTATTACATGTACTATAACGAACTATGAGATGAAAACCTTCAATGAATACAATGCAACAAATTCAACGAAATCAACAAGACGACTTATTTGCGTGTTTATACACCCCTTCCACGGGATATGAAGTTTCACTGACCACATCATACTGCTACAGAGACACGATGGCGTGACTAACTCATTATTCTTCTTTCTCACTAAAAATAAACGACGTGTTGATATGGTCTCATGGTAAACGTAATTAACAAGTCTGTTAAGCTACACCCAACTCACAGCTTTCACTACCCTTAAAATGTGACGAAATCTTTCTTGAGTAGCCTGGGAAAGATTAAGGGAGAGCAATAAGGAAGAATTAATACAGAATAGGATTCAGGACAGGGACTGAATGATAAAAGATTGTGTTAACCCTCTCACATAGGAGGTTTGACAAAAGACATAATCCTTGGTATTTAACATTTGATTTAATTTCAGCTAGTTCATGTAAGTTAAGAGTCTTGGAAAGTAAAATTAACAGACAAAAACTACTGAATAATATCAGATGAAAATCTTTCCAATTTGGAGACGTCTGATCGAACTGTTAAACAATGGACACACTGAAATTCACTTCGTCTTACTGAGTCAGATAATTCAACTAGAAACTAAACAGAAGAAAAATAAAAAGCAGCCTATTAAGGCCCACTGATTAAAGTAAATAAAACGGTTGAATACCTTCCTTTCCTTGATGTGTACTCTTTCCTATCTGAATCATAATAATGCAACCTACTTTATTGTATCACACACAGCTAGCATGTTTAACATAACAGGACTAGGTACAGAGTCCAAGACAGGTATGTAATCTAGAAAAGCTTACCAGATATATTTAGCACTTTCATAGAAACTGAAGAAAATATTATGGCGAAAGAAAACAGATTCATCTAAATGATATCTATCTGGTTATTAAGCGCATGGTATTGTGTTACGTAAATTATAGTCAGATATATCATGCCTCATTTTACACACTGAGATCGTTGCCCGATAGGTTGGACACTAGTCAGTAACTAGTGTAATGTGTCTAATCGTTTGTCTGGTGCAGACATTCATCTCTTTTGATGCTTAGCGTTTCGCACGTTTGTAACATAAAACATGAATATCTTCCCAAAACTCACCACGTCCATATGATGCTTGTTTCTCATTCATAGTGAGTGGAATACACATGTTTCATTACCTTCCTTTTTCTTATTCCTCCTATGCATTTTTCTCAGCTTTATGTGGATTGCAATATTTGTCTGTGGAATGTAGTCAGTGATGTGTTGTCATTATTTGTGTTGAGCGATACAGAAGACATTCATAAAGCAGTCTTACCTAATGGATTATCCTTATCTGATAACCCACTGCTGTCAACAGGAATAGACCATTATTTAGAGATGTGACAAATTACTGCACCTGAACTAATGAGTGGTGTAATCGACTCGAGTGACTACTGTCCTCGTACAAGTACAAAATAAGTGGTGTGTTTACCACAGTGTGAAATGTTTCCTAGAGTATTGTTTGGTTGAATCAGTCCCTCTGACAAAGTTGAATGTGCGCTTCAATTTCAAAATGACGTCTTTTGTAGCACAGAGTAGTTACAGTTATTCGGATATACTGATTATTTATGAAATGCTTTTCTGTGATACAATAGCAGGTGCCAAAGAACGCGCATCCACATTTACCAACTTCAGCTTTTATCTACAGGTCAGTCATTCTTAGCACGACAAACTAACATTATGCAAACAAGCAACAGAAATATTGAGAACGAGTCATTCAATACAAACTGAGCCTCGAAGTGGAGGATGAAGCACTTGTCCATTGGATTGAATGCTCTTAAAAATTGATCTCTGCAACTGATGTAAAGCGATTAAGAGAATAATTTAGGTAGGTTAATTATTTCCTTATTATTTTTACAGTCACTCTGTGAAGACCAATTGAGTTGACAGCCTGAGTGAGTCAATGTATTAGTTAAACGAGCAAGTTAATGTTGCCTCAAGGTGTGAAGATAGACTCGCCAGGATTGTGAATGATCACTCTAGACTGTTCCAAGAGATACTTCAAAGTGTCACTTCCAGATGCGTAGAATAACTCTGATGATATGTTCCGACTAATTGTGTTGATCCCATAGAGTTTATCATTCTGAAGATATCGTCGCAGAGTTGAAGTGCCATCTTTTATGATTCTGCATGATGTGAGACTAAAATCTACTCTCCATTACTCACCATAAATTGGACGCTTACTAAAGTGTGTGATTATTTGTGGGACTCTGCTTATATGTTGC